ATGACGCCATAACATGTGTAGTCTTTTCATATATTTTAGATTTCTAGAACAGAACTATAAAGTGAAATAATTTCGAAACAAAAAATAATACGTAACAAGTTCTTTCTTCCATTTCTTCTAATTTAAAAGCAGGAAATACATGGTATCGGACTCGCTGACATGAGACACAGGCTTTGAAGAGATCGCTTTTTGGCATCACGCAGTTCACTTGTTCGAAAGCAACATCATGCATCCAAATACCTACCTCACTTCAGCGAAGGCCTGGGTAATATTACTACCACCAGCGGCATTGGAATCGAAAATTCACGTAAGACCGAGCAGCGTAGCTCATTCCTCCCACTCGCCAGGCAGTCTTTCTCGTTTGTTAAGGCCCACTAACGCGACCAGTGCTGCGACCTGAAAAATAAACGATATTTTTGGCTAGTCCGATGCCCTGCTCAGCTTCAGAGCTCCAAGCGACGAAAGAACAGGAGCAGTTTGATATTCTGGTTTAAGATGCACTTTATCGACAAAATAAAGAAAGCATTTACCTGTTCAGCCATCTTTTTGTTTGGTTGCCCGATGCGTGACGAGAACTTCTTTCCTCCAACCTCAATCGTTGCCTCAAATCTTTTGTCAGTTTTACGGTACTTCTGGAATTAACAAAGGATAATTTCAAGAAATAAGATAAATGAATTTAGCACGTAAATTTATGTGATACAAATTTATTTGTCAGGATGAATTACTGAAATGTTATTGCATGTTTAAAGGCAATCAAACTGTACAGTGGAGATAAAAATCCCAAATAATTGTTTTGAAACTTACACATTCATAAACGGGCCTTTTGATTTCACTTTCATCACACAGTGCATTGAGGACGCATTTCGGCGTTACAGAGCCATGCCGGTCTCTTAGCCGCTTACTAAAAACACAGATACATACGTTTTCTAACGAGAGCTTGCATGAATAGAAACACAGATACTGAGTTCGACAAAAATGTACATATGTGCAAGAAAAAAAAAAAATAAAAATAAGGGCAAGGACAGGTATACCTAAGATCGGGAATAAGGTGAGGAACGGGAGAAGTGCCAAAATTGCTGGGAATTAAGAAAAACACAGCAGTTTTATCCTATTAAAATTCTTAACATACATTCGACAATAAATGTTGATAGTAATTTACTAGAAATTCAATAAATGACCTAACTACCTGGGGTACAGCAATGAGCATAGAGCAACCCCCCATCTGGCCAAGATGGCTAATATTGCATATATCAATACAACTATCTTAGCCATCATGAAGCACTGGGGGAAAAGTTAAGATCTGCGTCAAGGAAAGCTTCTCAGACATCTGCGCGAAATCAACATGACTGTAAAAAAAAAAAAAAAATACGGTAAAAAAAAAAAAAACAAGCTTAAGGCGTACGATGGAAATGTGAGATCAATGAACTGTACATCCATTTGTTCATCGCACTGGAATGACCGTTTTTGAGCTCGCCTTCGAACACTTTTGTAATATTCGTAGATATCACTAACACTCCATGCTTTACAAATATCCAAAACACTGGCCGCCATGACAGTTTGTCTTCCACGTGGATCCGATTCCTAAAAATTTCATTATAAAACGTAATTACGGCCACTATGCTATACATATTCAGGACTGCAGGCGAACTTCAAATACCCAAAAAATAAAGGATCGCTCAAAAATTTTCAAATCTCCACCAAAGGCCAAGGCCGTAAGACCACGAACATTGCGAAACAGATGGAAATCACAGTCGAAAGTGTTAGGGAAATGAAAAATCTCAACGATACCTGTTTGGATCCGAGCATTCTTTGCACCACGTATTTTGTTGCTGTGAAATTTTCATCATATTTGCATGCCTGAAAAAACAACTTTGCGTGAACGAACTAATCCAT